GGAGGAGGAAGATGAAGGATCAACCTCGTCAACCTTCACAGGTAATGAGGTAGTGTTGGACCGAGGTGAAAGAGGGTTTGTGATTTCAGCGGAAGGAGATGCCGCAGGCGATTGAACTGGGCTACGAGATGACATGATGCCGCTGCCGGATTCCGAGACTTGCCCAGGTACGGGCGAGATGCTCTGTGCGTATGGAGAGCCATTTCGATTGATCACAGGTGACCTGTCTCGTCTGGAGTTAGTCGCAGCTTGCAAGAGCGATCTCGGTTGTGGCGATAGGACTGGGCTTCTAGGCCGAGCAGATTGTGACGTAAGATGACTTGACGCGGCAGATTCCATGGATAGTGAAGAGTTAGGATCGAGGTTTGAAGAAGATTCGGATGGCACTATCTCCGGTTCAGCGAGCTTTGGAATAACAGACTTGTCCGCCGTTGTCTGTTTCGACGTCAAAGCATTAGCCCGTGGAGGCGACCGTGCAGGAGAGTTTGATCTATTACTCTGCAATACGTGCGCTTTCCAAGGCTGTTCAACCGGTTCATTTGCAGTTCGTTTACTTGTGGTGGAGCTCGTGCGGTTGTTGATATCTGTCGATATGCTGCCTTTTCCGGTACCTAGATATTTCGAATCATTATCAGCATTGCTTTTCGAGGATTCTACGTTGTTGGTGTTGCTATCTCTCGACGAGCTGGCATGATGGTTCCCCAAGGTGGCGAGACTCGATTTTGCTATCTTCGAAACGTCACCGGATGCGGCTACATCATAACGAAGACATGTATCAGTATATGGTAGAAAAGAGAGTAGAGGAGGTTATATGTGAGGAGATTGTTGGAATATAGGCCAAGGCATGTGCATGTGCATGTGCATAGATTGGGAGAAGAGTTATCTCTTTCACCAAGAAAAACAATGCGCATTAAAAGAAACATCTTGAGCGTTACGTACCTGCACTATCAGGCGTAGCACTACGCCGGGGTTTAGCCTCTGATTGTGGGGAGGACTGGTCCGCTGAACTAGATGAATGGTGGGATGAGGGGCGTTCTGGTCTCATCGAAGAGCTACTTGGGGCGTTTCTGAGCTCCAAGCTCTCTTGTAGGGGTTCTGGATCCTCTTGAAAGC